CATCCGGTTCTTCCTGAGTGACCCACAGCGGTCCAGGGTCAGCGGGCTGGTGGGTGTGTCCACAGCGCTCCCTGGAGGACGAGATCAGCCGGACCACAGCCGAGGACCTGCCCATCTTTGCCATCAGCTACCTGGTCATCTTCCTGTACATCTCCCTGGCCCTGGGCAGCTACACCAGCTGGCGCCGCATGCCGGTGAGGGGGGGGCGCGGGAGGGGCGTGGGGGGGCGCAGGAGGGCATCAATACCTTCCAACCAGACGTCTGGCTGCAGGGGACACCCCCCCCGAGGCTCCCCAGGGGTGGTGCGCTCCCCCAGCACCCACGGGGGCCCATCGCCAGCCCTGCACAGGAGGCTGACCCCATCCCCTTGCAGGTGGACGCCAAGGTCACGCTGGGCCTGGGCGGGGTGGCCGTGGTGCTGGGCGCTGTGATGGCCGCCATGGGCCTCTTCGCCTACCTGAGCGTCCCTTCCTCCCTGGTGGTCCTGCAAGTGGTGCCTTTCCTGGTGCTGGCCGTGGGGGCGGACAACATCTTCATCTTCGTCCTGGAGTACCAGGTGAGTTGGGGCGCCCTGCCAGACACCCCCAGGTGCCCCCAGGTGGGTTCCTGGGTGCTCCCCCCAGACACCCCGTGTGGTTCCCAGGGCTTCCCTCCCTGACGCTGTCCTCATCCCTGCAGAGGCCCTGCTGTGGGTCTGTCACGCACATACCTGTACTCGCACCCTGTCACCTACACTCGCCCAGGTGCCCTCTGTAGGGTGTCAGGCCGCACGTGGGGCACCAGGTAGCGTCCAGGGGAGGGAGTCAGTTGATTTAGCCTCTGCTGTTGGTGGATGTTGAGGTCCCAATGGCCATTGGGCCAAGGATGCCACGGACACCCCAAAACACACCCTGCATCCCTCTGGGCCAGGCTGACAAGGGGGCGCTGGGATGGCAGGGCCAGCTGGGGCTGGGAAGGTCGGCCGACTGTCCCTCAGGCTCAGCCGGGACTCTGGACGATGCTGTGCAGGAGGGAGGGCACCTGCCCACCCACTGGCCAGCCCTTGACCCCGTCCTTGCTGTCCCCCCTCGCCAGAGGCTGCCCCGGAGGCCTGGGGCCGTCTGCTTCTTCCTGGGTGAGAAGCCCCTGCCCCCCACTTCCCGGCCTGGACAGCGGGGTGCGGGCAGCCCCTCTGCACCTGTGAGCAGACACCGTGTCCTGAGTCTCCTCTGTCCCCCAGGGGCCCTGACCCCCATGCCCGCCGTTCGGACCTTTGCGCTGACCTCTGGCCTCGCCCTGATCCTGGACTTCCTGCTGCAGATGTCGGCCTTCGTGGCCCTGGTGTCGCTCGACAGCAGGAGGCAGGAGGTAGGGGACCCGCTCGCCCGTTCTGGACGGGGTGGGGGGGGCCCTTCACTTTGTAGAGAGGCTTGGAGTGGGCTTGGGGCAGGGACGCTGTGGGGAACGTGTGGGCCTCGTCGTCCCCTGTCCCACAGAAAAGCAATTTTGTTTTGGTCATTTTGGGGACTTGGATCAAACTTCCCAAAGGGCATGTGGGTCAGGGTCTCGGCGCCGAGAGAGCTGCTGCCTCTGCACACAGGGCGCACAGGGACGCGGCCCCG